ATGGGAAGAGAAGCAGGGAAAGGATGTTTGTCTTTGACCTTCTATAGCTAAAGACAGTGATATGTGGACAAGAGGGGCTCACTTATCAAACAACAGGATTAAACAATCGAGGGTACTGACGCTCGTGCTAGTACTGCTAACCTGAGCCACATGAGGCAATAGAGTGAATACTTGATGATTTTGGTGTACTGTGAATGCAGCACCAGTAACAGTCTTTAAATGATAAAAGGTAAAACATTAGGCATCTACAATAACAACAGCAGCTCTCGACAAACCAAGCAGAAATTACTCAAACTGAAGACTGGGTGTGTTCACAGTCGAGGACGTGCATCTCACTTAGTGGAGTGGGGTGAATGCACACAGCAGACCACCACCGGTAGGTACAATGTGGTGTGAAAGCAGTTGCTCTTATAAATGGTGCCTCACATTGAGTCACCATTTAAAATACTGAAATTGCAGAATTTAATTACAAACAGTGGTGATTTGGATCTTCTGGCTGTCTGCGTTTAGTCTCTCTTTTTAAGTATTCACTCAAAGATTTTTTGTTCGCCTGATTATGAACTTACTAGTCAGGGACGTCTCTTTTTTTCCAACTTACCAATTTTGGGCTCCTCACCAGACTCAGTCTCACAGATTTTGTCAATGATCTTTTTCTTGATAGATGCCAAGCTGTCGAAGCTGTCGACATCAAAGACCTTCTCTGGCGTGCCAGTGATCTGCAGGAGCTGTAGGTAATAGACATCTCCAACTGCAATGGCGAATATTGTAACCCCCATTTTCCTGAGCGCTTCTGCAGCATCCTCCACATCATCACGAGAATTACCATCTGTGATCAACACCAGGTTCTTGGGAACACCTCTGCGGCTTCCCTCATGAAAGTAGTCCCTAATGCGATCCAAGGCTTTTCCAAGATAAGTGTTTCCACCTTTATAGTTCATGTTAAGGATATGCTCAATCATCTTCGTATTGTCGTTGTACGTGTTAAGGTAAAACTCATCTTTAGGTTCGTCACTGAACTGTGCAAGTCCGATATGTGCAAACTCTTTACTGACATTAAAGTCGTCCACCACACTTGCTGTGAAGTTTATCATCATTTTGTGCTCTTCTAGGTCGATGCTGCTCGAGTAATCGAGCAGAAAGACCAAGTCTGTCTGGTTGCAAGCTGCCAAAGAAAAAGCAAGACAGAGACATTTGACGTCATTAATACACAACGAACCAAACAAAAACCTGATGCCAATTCTTTGGTTAGTCTTTAGAGTCTATCGTGACAGTGGAAGAACGGTTAACCAAAAATAAGATATTAGTGAAGAACTTGGGGAACATTTTAAAAAATGCATGTAAATATTGTGAAACATGGTCAGATAAGGGGTAATAAGCGCTTAATTTAAATTATACCGAACAAGAAATGAATAAAGAAAATAAATCAATTCTAAAAAACCCAACAGAAACCTGTAACACAGTAAAATGTAAATAAATGCAATGATTTCCACATTTCACAAAACTATATTTTATTAACAATACAACCCATGAAAATGGGGCTCCAAAAGGCTGGAAAAGTAAGTGGTACAAAAGAAAAACAGCTGGAGGAACATTTTGTGGGGAATTGTCTAATTAGCTCTAGCATAAAAAAAGAGCTTCTTAGAGACAAATTGTGGAACAATTGTAGAATAATATTCCTCTGGGTACAGTCATGAATATCTCATCATGTACAGTACATAATATCATCAAAAGGTTCAGAAAATCTTGAGAAATCTCTGTGTGCAAAGGGACAAGGCCGAAAATCAACATTGGATACCTTTAATGTTTCACCCTCAGGCAGCAATTCATTAATAACAGGCATGGTTCTGTGATGGAAATCACTGCATGGGCTCAAGAGCCAGAAATCACTGGATGTGAACATAGGTCCTCTCCCCAAAGTGCAGCAGCTGCTCCCCTGGTTCCCAGATGTTCCATCAGTCATTACCATCAGTTCAAAATGAACTGATATCTTTCCTAAATTTGCACGCTTTTTCGGTTGTTTTTAGTTTCTATTGTGATCCAAATATGGGTTCATGAGATTTGAAAATCATTGCATTTCACACAGTATCCTTTCTTTTTTCACAGTTGGTTTCAGATGTTCCCCTAGAACTTCCATACAGATATGATACTCGAAATGCTCAGATTTATACATCTGTGTAGCTCTGTAATTACTAGTCCAATGCCTGGCTCTGTCACTTTGTGTCTTATGCTGCTCAACAACGGCTGAACAACAGTTACTTACTGAAATTAAAGCCCAGACAAAAGGCAACTCAAACACAGAAGATTAAATGTGTCTGTAAGGATGGGTATGGATCTGCTTTGGTCAGAGGATGAACACGAGACTTTATAGTGCACTCCTCATTCATTTAATATCAGATACAATAGGGAGCACTACTGTGTGCTGCCTCCGTACACTATCGAGAATAATAAGTTTACATATGGCCTTACAGAGCTATTAAAAAGAGGACATGGTAGCTGCTTAATGATTACTGCATTAACATACGGAAAAGTTAAGGAAAAGTTTCTCCAAGTGTAGCAGGCTGTCACATATTTATCTTTAGTGTAACTGAACTGACTCCCTCACTTAAATCTAGCAAAAAACACGATTTTAGGAGATCAATACATTCTGCTGTTATGAAAATAGTTATTTTTGTGTCTTTGTTCTGTTCTTCTCCTCTCACCCCAACCAATCACAGCAGATGGCCCCGCCCCTCAATGAGCCTGGTTCTGTCGGAGGTTTCTTTCTGTTAAAAGGGAGTTTTTCCTTCCCAGAATTCTGACTTTTTTCTCAGAATTCTGACTTTTTTCTCGGAATTCTGACTTTAATCTCAGAATTCTGACTTTTTTCTCAGAATTCTAACTTTTTTCTCAGAATTCTGACTTTAATCTCAGAATTCTAACTTTTTTCTCAGAATTCTAACTTTTTTCTCAGAA